AAAGTTGTAAAGTTCGTATAAAACTTTTTTTAATTTTTAACTTAAATTTTTTTGTATTAACTGTGTTTTCCTCTTATAATTTTTATTTTAGGGGTATATATGCCTTTGTTTTTTTTTTCATTTTTAAATTTCTTTTTGTTTAGCTCTACAGACCTTTTGATCCTTCTTTTCTTTCATTCCCATTCTTTTCACCTTTTCTTCTCTTTCAATCTTCTTTGAGTGACAATTGCTGTTCTGCTCATCCTGATATTCCTTTAGTGGATTATTAGACCTAATACTCCATTGTGTACAGCTTAATCCAGAAATTTATTACTGAATTCAAAACCTCTTAGACTTGAATTCCTTAATAGCAGTACTCTTTATACCTATATAATATTTTAAGCATTTTTATTTTTAATTTTTTCACGTCTCTTTAGCCCGCCACTTCTCTCATTCTATCCACGTCCTTCTTGGAAATTATGTTTTTAAATTTGAATAATTCAGTGTTGCACTGTTTAATTTGTAATTTTTATTTTTCTATTTATTCTTGTCTCTTTGTTTCTTTCTCTTTCTCTTTTTTAAGCTCTCTCTACTTTCATTCTATCCAATCTATTTCCCACTTTGAGATTAGGACTTAGTTAATTCTCCCTCTGCCTTTCCACATCCCTCTATTCCTATTTTTACCACATCTCTCAATAAACCTAATAATTTCTGGTTTGTCAAATTCTTCTTTGCGGTTCGTAGCCTATGAATACACAGTTGTTTGATGTTGAATAGTATATCTGTTGAACTAGATTGTATCTGCAGACTTTTGACTGTGCAACTACAGACTTTGGATGATGCTTGCCTTAAGATAATGTTCTGGCATAAAACTGGTGTTACTTTCATCCTAATGGGCAGAGCAAGCCAGAAAAACACAAGAAAAATGGCAAGTCCAGGCATCTCAACTCCCACTAAGGATAATCAGCTGACAGACCAGATAATGAATAATCCAGAGGGGAGTTCCCAAATAGCTCTACAAACACTGCTTGTAAACATTGTAAATGAAAAGATTGAAAACCTGCAATGGACACTGTGAGCATGATATGGAGAGAGAGAAGGCAATCCAAAGGTTAATACAGGAATATCATGAGCATGAGGAAGCTACTCAAAAATTGATACAGGAATTGTGTGAGCTCCTTGAGAAAACTCAAGGAGAAATAAAGGAATCTATGAGCAGGCAGAGATCAGTCAAGGAGAAAGTGAGGAATGGCATGAGTAGGCTGAGAACACTCAAGGAGAACTACAGGAATTGCATGAAAATGAGGAAACTAAGCAAAGAGTAATACAGGAATTGAAAGATAAGGATGAGCATACACAAAGATCACTAAAGGCATTCATGGAATCCATTAACAAAGACCTGAAAGAAGTCAGGGACACCACAAAGAGAATGCTGAATGGAACCCAACAGAAGGAATAGGAGCCCATGGAAACCATACCCAATCACCTAAGTGATTTGCGAATAAACACTGAATACCAAATTAAGGAAGTCAAGTGGTTCAAAGTTCCAAGAAAGCATTTAAAACCATCAAAGCTGACCAATTAGAATGAAAAGAAGTAAAAATACAAAGTAGAGAAATCTTGACAGTACATTAGACCATTCAGAAGATCAAATCCTAGGGATTGAAGACAACCTAGATATTACAGAGAAAGAACATACAACCATCCAAGACAAATCCAAGAAATATGACAGATCTATTCAACACTTGGAAGATACCATCAGAAGGCCCAATCTGAGGATATTAGGTGTAGAGGAGCACCTAGAGACAGTAGTTAATGGTCTAGAAAATTTGTTTAACAGGATCCTAGCATAGAACTTCCCAAACATAGGACTATTCAGATACAAGAATCAAACGGCATCCATAAACAGGCGGGAGTTGCAATCCTAATACCAGGTAAAATAGACTTCAAAGTAAAATTTGTGAAAAGAGATAAAGAAGGTCACTACATACTAATTAAGGGATCTCTCCTTCAGGAGGATATTAAAATTCTAAATATCTATTCACCAACCAACGGAGCACCCAAATATATCCAAGAAACACTACTTTCCCTCAAATCCCACATAGATCCAAAGACATTAATAGTTGGGGACTTTAACACACCACTTTCCCCACTGCATAGATCAACTCGGCAAAAACTCAACAGAGAAACCGCAGATTCTAACAACTGCATAGATCAATTAGATTTAACAGACATTTAACAGACCAAATATTTCATGCAGAAGCATCAGAAGCATCAGAATACACATTTTTCTCAGAAGCACATGGATCATTTTCCAAAATAGACCACATTTTAGGCCACAAAGCAAACTTGTCCAAATTCAGAAACATTGAAGTAATACCTTGCATTTTCTCAGACCAGAAGGGAATAAAATCAGAACTCAACACCAAAAGCCACCAAAGAAAGTCCTGTAACACATGGAGGCTGAACAACACACTGCTGAATCACGAGTGGGTCATGGAAGAGATTAGAAAGGACATTCAAATGTTCATGATATTCAACCAAAATTAACACACAAATTACCAGCTCCTCTGGGACACAGCAAAGGCAGTACTCAGGGGCAAGTTTAGAGATCTGAGTTCCTACATCAACAATTTGCAGAGATCTGAAATCAACAATTTAATGAGATATCTGAGCCTCCTTGAAAAAGAGCAGCAAGATGAACCCCAATCCAGTAGACAGAAAGAAATAATTAAAATTAAATCAGAATTACATGAATTACAATCCAAACAAACTATAGAAAGAATCAACAAAACAAAGAGTTGGTTCTTCGAAAAAATTAACAA